GGCCGATGCGACCTCGGCGAATGTCGCTGAGCGCGGTGCGATCGTCGCATCGCTCGTCAGGGTCGCGATCGCAGCATAAGATGTAGTTGTGAGGCGCGTCGAGGATAGTAAGTCCTTGACGTCAGCCTCGAATTGAGAGGCGTCCGCCTGGCCACCGCTAGCTACCGGGGACGCGGGGGGGTTGTCGTGGACAATTGAGCCGTGGGCAACTGAGCCGTGGGCACTCACCGGTGAGGGCGAAGTGAGTCGTGGACGCTTGTCTGCGCCCTCCTCACTATCGTCCGAGCTGAAGAGCAGTCGCTCCGCTCGCCCCTTCCGCCCGTATACAACTTGATATTCGTCATGAATATCGACGGTTGATACAGGCGGGGGGCGGATTGGGCCCGCTGCTGATGTATTAGGCGAGGCCGCTCGACCAGTCATGACTGGGAGTCGGCTCGCCGTATTTGTTGCCCTCTGGGGCAGGGGAGCATGGGCCGCTACACCCGACGGCCCGGGTTGGGCCACGGGGAGCGGGCCTTGCTGTTGCGGCGAACGCTCGTCAAGCGTTCCGGTGGGGCGGGTAGGGGGATTCCCCTTACCCGTGATACGGAGATGCCTATCCGGCATTATAGCGTCTATTTCGCGAACATATAAAACACAACACTGAGAACACAACAATAACTAGGTACACAACACTGTTGCTGAGCGCCCTCGACTATTCGCACAATAGAGGTAGGGTGCTACAGCTGCCGCACAGTCACTTTCTGTATCGCGGGTTAACGGAATGAAAAAAGCGTCACTGCGCGGTCGTCTTAGGTTACAGGAAGGGGTCACTCGCGGCGACGCGAGCGACACTGGCGAGTGTCCGAGGAACTTCGGGGCGTAAGGTGGGGCTCGACGAAGCTTGGAGCAACGGAGCGCGCACGACCTCTCGCGGCGAAGACTCAGGAAAACTCGTCGTCGTCGTCGTCGTCCGTCGGGTAGTCGAACATTTTACATTTTAACACCCCTGTATCGAGGCAATACCGTATGGAAACCCACATAAGCTCCCTTGACTCGGGCAATACCATATAGAAAACCCACATAAGCCTCCTTGAGTGAAGCAATACCATACAGAGAGCTACCTAAGCCTCCTTAGCGAGGCAATACCTTATAGAAAACCATATCAAATAAAATCCAACCCTTCATAATCATTTAATTTGCTATAACTTAAATTATCTTAATACTAGGGGAATAAATACACCCATAAGTTGTATCGTTTAATTTTAAGCTTTAACCACATTAATTTAACTAAACTTACTTTTTATATATAATTTACTTAAGATCATCTAATATATATAACTCGACGAGACGTGCGTCCGTAACAAGAACCCTATTGGATCTTAACTGAGATTTTTGCATAAAATTGTGAATTTTGGCGTTCTTGATCTCGAAAACAAAACCATATATATAATTTTGACTAGTTGAATAGTGTAGAATAACTCTTGCCATTGTTCATAACGGCCTCACTTTTTGAAAATTTTGCTTATTTTTTCAATTAAACCCAAAATAGCTGAGACAGATCACGAAGACACTGTTTTAGTCCCCTGGACTGTTCTTAACAAATTAAATAAAAAAATATAATGATATCTTCTTTATAATTATATATTAAATATTGAAGCACTGATTAAATATTGAAAAATATCATATAATAAACAAAAAACATCAAAAATTGCTTTAAAATAACTGTGATTTTTTCTCATCTTCTATAATATTATTGAACAAATTGTATGCCTGAATGATAATTACTTCATAAGGATTCAAGATTTTTTGAAATATAAAGAGTACAATTATTACCTTATTTCAATAAAATCGATAAATGTAAACGCAAAATCACTACAAAATGCTATGTACTGGCCGTCCGAGCTCAGCTCAGTTCCGCGCGGGCGCTCCTTGATGTTGGACCTGTGTCGAACTTCTTCGCGTCATTTTCGATCGAGGTACGCTAATGGGTCGTATAATGGGTCTTCTAACTTTGATCACGTAAGTATAATTCTTATTGGTGTTTGTTTTATATGAGCTTTATTGAATTATTTCTAATACATATTTCGTTATTTACAGCATGGGTCGAAAGACCCCTAGGTATAATTGTTTAAGAAAGTTAAAATATATTATCTTTATTAGGAAATGCAAATAAAACTAGGTACTTCTTTTTCACAATAAAATCATACAAATAAATTAAAATTGGAATGCATGTTTTGAATATTAAAATAACCGTTTTTTACTAAATACATTTGTATGTATACACGGTACATATACAATAATAGCTTTTTTTACTTTTTTTGTCTATTTGTTCCGGCTAATCTCTGAAACGGTTTGACTGATTTTAAAGGAACTTTTACTGGAAGTTGACTTGTGTAATAAGAGATAGCATATAACTCATGGCTCGTTGCAATTCGACCGGTATCGAATCGATCGTCGATTAAAATTGCATGTATCTAATTGGACAGATTTATTGGAGCTCCATATATCAAACAACTTTTCTAAATTCAATATATTTTTAATTATGAAGTGTGTCTGTTTACGGTTTTGCGTGCATATATACAATTGGATAGCGCGTTTGATCTGCGATTTTGAAGATTAAGAGACTTTTGCAAAGGCAGGTAATCATATGGGTAATCATTTTTTGTTTTTCTGAGCAGAGTGGAGTGGAACAGGCGTTTACGAAGATTAAACAACGTTTGGAAATGTCAGTAATGGGATGGGTGACCAATTTCTTTTATTTGACTGAGAGGGGCGGGGTGGGCAGGTATTGCGGGGTGTAGCCCGGTTTTGCTCTCTTTTCTTATCCTATTAGTACCATTAGTACTAACTCATGCTAATGCGTTTGATCAGCGATTGCGAAGATTAAGCGAAGTTCGTAATAGGCAGTAATGGGGTGGGTGACAATTTTTTTTTGGCCCAATGGTAATTCATACTGGGCATGCGCATTCGTCCTAAATCGCTCTACTAAAAAAAAATCGCAGATCAAACGCATCATCATCGGCCTTTTCACTTTAAATATATGGCAATATTTTGATGATATGATAAGATTGCGCAACTGAATCGCTCTTCGATATTACTGAACAGAAAATCAAAAGCAGATCGAGAGTTATACCGAATTCATCATTTGAAGCGATATCGCAAACCTTGAGTTCCATATCGAGGAGATGTATAACCGATATTGACAGATTGTTAAATCTCATGAGTAAACACTTGCGACTCTCCATACATTTTATAAGGGCGTGCGATTCGTGCGATATCGCTTATCAATACCGAATTGCATCGAACAGTCCACCTACTGTAATGGGAATTTTGTTTAGCCTATGATTTGGATAAAGTTTTTGATTTTTTAATTATTTATTTATATTTTATTCCCTTTAGTGAGCAGTTAAGCATTCATGTATTTCATGTATAGGATTATATATTTTTAGTGTAAATATCAAGATCTTTAATATGATACCCATATTGCAATAATTTAAAAAACATGCTTTTTAAATGGCGTCATACATCTGCTATATTAAATATTTAAACATAAACCCAGTGTCACGATACCCTATGAAATTTTTGGTTACTGGGGATGATGTGACGTTTCTAATGATACTTTATATTACATTCATATCCGTTATGGCTTTCAAAAGTTAAGGTGGAATAAAAAACACATACAATAGATTCCTTTTCTTGGGCAGTCATATTAAAATGCTTTTCTTATAAATTGAAATGTATAAGAAACTACTGCATTAAAAAAACCAAATAATATGCATTTTTGTAATGATTTAATATTAACCAAATAAATGTGATATAATGCATTAAATTATTAAAATAGTAATCATTAAAATCCAAGTATTTCCACTTAAGTTATTTTAGTTTAACTTTTAATCAACCATATTTTTTATAATGACAAGATGAATGAACGAGACACACGACCTCCATTGTGACTATCTCTCTCGGCTAGGATTAGCTTATGTAGAAGAAACAATAAAAAGTGCATTTTAACTGATAGTTTTAAAGTTTATTTTCGTAATGACAAATTTTAAGAGTTATGATTCCTGATATATAGGGCTAGGCCCACTGGCTGTGATTGTACCTACTGTAGAGATGTCCATATACTTGACTCGAGTTGAAATTCTCAACTCAGGTTAATGGGTTAAATTAAATATGTAATTCATTTCTGTGACATACTCATCCCTTTTTCATATATATCAACGAAACCTCCATATTGTATAGTGGATATAACAATGAAGTAAATGTAACGGTATTTAATCAATAAAAATAATAAAACATTTTTATTAAATAAATTAACACCAAAAAAAATCAAGATCATAGTTTCTTCTATGGCAGAATGTATTTGAAAATTGACATAGATATCAAATATTGTAGGGCAGCATTTAGGAAATATTGATTTTTATATAAAGTTTCAATGAGAGTCAGTAATTATTTGAAGTTAGTATCCAGAAATTTAGCAATAATTTTTTTATTTTAAATAAATTGATATGGGCAACTAAAAGACATTTTAAAATATATAATCTATATTTTTCAGCAATAAAAAGTTAAGGAAATAGTAACAACTAATTAAGAATGGTATCCGAAGATATCAAGATACCAATTCCAAGAGCACACTGAACTACGAAATATTTTAGAGGGTTATTTTAAACAAGCGAAATTTTTTTTCAAGACATTGTATACTAATATATCGCTTCACAAAGCCAATATATAGATATTTATCGATACATTTCGGATCTTAAGCAAATTAAAATATCTCGTTTGTAAAAACCTTATATAAATAAAATACATTTAATATCAAATGTAAAGATACTGTTGGATGTTAAAGTTTGGATAACTGACGCACATTTACTCTTAGGTTTTAATTTGATATTAGGTATCGATATGTTGGTATTTTCGAAATCGATATGTATCAACTTTTGGGATATATATCTGTTGTTCTACATATTTTCCATCCCTAAGCGCAACTAGACTTGATGCATCACTATATAATCTGTGATAATAGCTGTCAAATTGTGAAAGAGAGAAAAGTTTTGTAGATAAATCTGTGTAAATTCATAACATTTCTTAACTCTGAAATTGAATCAATATCAGTTTTAGTAATGGAAAATGAATGACGACAATGACATCAATAACTATATTCCGTCACTCCTAAATCCACGATCTGTGACAAAAGACAAAACAGGTTTTTCATTAACACAGGTAAGTTTAAGTTTATCTGAGAGACTCGGAAACGCAAAAAAATTATAAAATCATGAATATAAAAATGTGTGTAACTAGGAGGGATGTGTATGATCCGTGTAAATATTGAACATATATAATTTGATAAAGTTAAAGATGAAAATAGAATTAAATTAAATTTTACAAATTATGAATAATTTGTTTAAACATAATCACAAAAAGTTCTACCAATGTTAGTAAACAGTCGCAGTTTTAGGGTAAAGCTTTAATTATAAAAATTAGAAGTATATTAATTAAATATTAATAAACTTTTTTAAATCAACTGTCTTTTTTGCTGCCATACAACAAGGTAAAAACAAGGGATTTTCTTTTAAGCTGCATTATCTTATTTTAATGCGTTTCGGGTTATGATGTGAAAGTTAATCAACTTTTGATGGGCCATAAAATTTACTATCGCAAGCTCCTCTGTGTTTCAGAAAGCATGTTAATCTATTGGTCCGAGCTACTTCTGCAGTTATTAACACCCACTGATCCACACTGGGCTTGAAATATTGCCCCATTTTTTATTCAATATAATTCAATTCCATTTATATAGAGATAAAGAAGGCCAGTGCTCCAACAGTGTGGGTTGTAACAAGCCAATGACAATCTCATTTAATGTAGACCTTATGTTCAGAAAATAGTGAACTATTCTTTTAAGTTCAAGACAAGGGTGGATCCAGGGGGTGGTCAAGGGGTCATGATGCCCTCTGGGCTGGGTCCAGGACCTAGGTGAACTACTAATTAAATTTTTTATTCAAAATTTAATTAAGCAAATATATTTTAGTATATATTTACTGTTATCAAAATAAATTTCTTATGACTTGACACTACCCCCTCCCCTGCTGGCGTCAATGCTGGATCTGCTCCTGGTTACAGATTACAGAAGATTATTTGAAATGTTTCTTCATTGTTGTTGTTAATCCTTTTTTTTATTATTTTAGAATTCTATTGCTAGCCGTTGTTCATTGTCATTAAGAAAAAATAATGGCCTGAACAAATTAAGAAGTGCTCACAAGGTGAGTCACCTTTGATTTTTTGTTACAATAAAGATTGTTTTCTATGATAATGATATTAATTGGAATAGGGTAGTTTATGTAGTGATAAAATATAAGATATAAAATTCCACATATACTTAATTTAAATGTTGGAATTATAAAATTGCATGATCATTAATATGTGACCTGAAATATGATATGGGGTGACATTTTATCAACAAAAATGTTTCTGCATCAGTGAGATCAGTTTTAAACTGTAATTTTATAGCAGCGCCTGGATGGTACTATTTTTATCTTATTTATATTTTAATTTGTAGCAAAATCGCTGGCACTCTTATATGATTCTTGACATCTTTTAAAGTGTGGCTATAATTCGGCCGTAAATGCGGGGGTTATGTTTTTATATTTAATACTAGTTTTTTTATTACTTAATGTGTTATGATTTTCTAAGTAAACTATTTTAAATTCACGCATCAATTTTCCATTTGAAAATACTTTTATATCGAAATAGAATGCTAGTTTTAATTTCTTGCGCTCTTTTCTTTCAGAAAAAAAATTAAAACTAGCATTCTATTTCGATCACTCATTGTTTAGTCCGCACATGTTATCTCATCTATCCATTCATCTATGCACAGATGATCTTGCGGTAAAAACGAAAATGAGGAAACACTATTTGTCTCTTTCATGCGGATTCTGAATCGGAAATGTATTCAAAACAGAAAAGAGCGCAAGAAATTAAAACTAGCATTCTATTTCGATCACTCATTGTTTAGTCCGCACATATTATCTCATCTATCCATTCATCTATGCACAGATGATCGTGCGGTAAAAACGAAAATGAGGAAACACTATTTGTCTCTTTCATGCGGATTCTGAATCGGAAATGTTTTCAAGGCCAACCTGTGTTCGTCTGACCTACAGCTGAGTGATACATAGTGTGCGTGTTTTATGTATAAGTAATTTTTTATGCTCTCAAAGTAGAAGATTTTTTTTTTCAAACAGGTCTCATACTACCATTTTATTACATTATTATTATGGGCTGTGGTTATGGGTATAACTTGATTTTCCTATACTAAATTTTAAATAATTTTATGATAGCAAAAAAAAAAACATTCTCATGAATTTAAATAAACATTTTTGTGAATTTCTGCTTTGGATTTCAGATTAATATTACTGACAAAGAAAATTCTCTAAAGTTTAATAACTTAACAAAAACTACTACAAAAAGACACTCCTTGAATAATTATGTGACAAACACACAAATCTCAGATATCAATAGTGTGAATTTCTCAGCAATTCAAGATCTGGATACAATTAAAATCGACAATGATTCATGTCCACTAAGTTATCAAGAACAGGATGTACAAAATGTAGATTTAAATTCCAAGCCAAAAAATTATGAAAAATCTCTAATATCAATCTCATCAGCGACAGATCTGAATGATTGTTTAATTAATGAAACAGTCTTGCTTTATAATGAGAGACCTAAAGTAACAGTATCGTTTGGTGTAAATAAATGCAAAAAACTTGATGTTAGCACCAATAAAGGTTGTCTCAAAAGAATCTTTTTTTCTACTGAAAATGAACACACAGCAGTAGACTGTGATATTATAGAGTGCTCGCAGATTTCATCGGACAGTAACGTCGATGAAAATATGAACGAAACCAATTTACTTAGTCCACAAGAGAAATCTGCTATTGCAGTCAACCTAGAAATTAAAAGAAAAAAGTTGTCACACAACTCTACAGAAAACTCGAAAGTTCTAATTTTGAACACTAATGCCATTGAGAACCTGTCACATGTCATCGTTCAGCCACCAAATTACAGAATAGTGAAACGCCGAACATCTAGAAATAAAATTAAGAGCATTGTGAAAAAGAAATCGATTATATCTCCGCTGAAGAATGGAAAGAGTGGTGTTAGTTTGAAACAAACGTGCATTGAGGAATACTTCTCTCGTAAAGCGAATGTTTTGAACTTGAAGGTAACTGACTTTAGGGTAGATGAGAGGGATAATGGTTATGTAGCTCGCGATGGTTATCAGGACATGAACAAGACATTGGGTGTCGCAGACGCCGTGAAATATGATCGTGTCGGCAGAGGGTCTTGTAAGAGTCGGCGGGACAATGAATCTCCGAGGGTCGGCAGGCCTGGTTCTAAGCGAAGCTGCGAATCAGCTAAACATCAAGATATAAAGATATCGTGCTCCGACGCTCATCATTTGCCTTCACCGAGGCCTAAGAATGAAAGTTTAGCATCACATTCGCCCAGGAAAAATGTGGAGTCTATTCAATTCAGCATATCTTCTAAAGCTAAATCTACAAAGACCTCTAGTACGATAAGAAGTATTCCTCATCATAAGATTGTAGCAGGTAATTTAAAATATTGAATGATACTTTGTGACTTCGCCTTTGGCATTCCCTGTCAGTAGATAGGATTTCACCTCCACCAAGAAACGGATTTTAATGCGGTCTTCATTATTAGATAGGTTTTTGGAAGACATGCCAGTTCACGAGAACTTTGTAAAATTGTTAGTGTTTTTAAACGTTAAGAATATTTCTCTATTAATACGTGCTGTACTCTAAATAGTATTACGCATTTATTTACTTTTAGATAGGTAACTTATTCTATTTTATATGATGATAATATTATTATTTATATTTACGCTGAAAGTTTTATTGTTACAGGAACACACTTTGCTGTGGATGCTTTTTCCTATGGAGAAATACCAAACGTTAAACATTATTTCCTGACGCATTTTCATTCGGATCATTATTCAGGGTTAAAGAAAAGTTTTAACAAATTGTTGTATTGTTCCAAAATTACCGGTAAATATTATTCAATACTTAAATTATAATCATCTTGTATGTAATATTATGACGTATATTATGTTACCTACTTTTCCACCATGGGCTTCATTGGAGGACGATTTTTAAAAGACTGCAGATGCAGCCGGGACCAATTCTTAAAGTGCCTGCCGAAGCATGGAGTAGATCGAGACTATAATTTTTGGTCACCCATCCCGTTACCGACCTTTGCGAAAGTTGCTTAACAACTACGTTCGCGGGCAGCGGCACTTACCCACTATGCCACCATATAGAACCATATAGGAAAGTAATATTATTCGCTTATATACATATATATGTATAATTGATATTTTGTGTATTTATTGATGAATAGGTTATTTTTTAATTTTAGCGGACCTGTGTATGTCACGTTTAGGGGTTAACTCCAAATACATCCGTATTATAAATCCTGATGAGTCTGTTCGTGTTGAGGGAGTGGAAGTGATGGCTGTGGACGCTAACCAGTAAGTAATTCATCATCGTTATATTAAGCCATATATGCTTACACACAACTACTTAGTATGGTTCCTTATACGTCCTTTGATTCGATGACTAAAAAAAATTATTAACATTTTATGAAAATGCATCCTACCCCTATTGGTATTATATGAATGAATTTAAAGCTGTAATCAGTCCAAGTTGTGGCTTACTTTTTGTGTTTTCAATAGACTTATTAGCACATTCTAAAATTCGGATAAGTTTCGTAAGTCAAAGAGGGGTATTGTTCGTTTTCGAATCAATGGGCATTTATGGGTTAATGTCCCCCAAAGTATGAATACTAATTAGACATACTTTACTACTTATTTCAACACCTAAATGTTACGTCTTGATTATTTAAAATAATATTTGTGCAAATGTCAATTGTTGTAGTGCGTAAAGAAAAATATATTATCGTAAAGAATTTACATTACAGGCTTTAAAAGAAAAATGTTACTATTGCAGTTAGTAAACCGCAACTTTAAATTGATGTTAAGGAAAAGTTATATTTTCTTTAGCTATCAAAGCTTAGAACTTAATTTTTTTTTTTGTACGGATTTCGCAGTCTAATTTATATTGAAATACCAGACATCGACAATTTTAGTCTCATACCATTTTAAACTTAACGATCACAATACAGAATGTAGTTTTTCTTACGACTCATAGTCATTCAAAGCGATTTTACATGTTTTAGTAATACAGATAAAGTTTAAAATTGTTTGGCAATGAAATATCAGCTGTGCTATCTAACCTTTATTACTTCCCTAACCTTTATGGTGTAACAAACTAAAATTTTCAGTTGTCCCGGTGCAATAATGTTGGTGTTTACTTTACCGAACGGTAAAACGTTACTGCATACTGGTGATTTTAGAGCTACACCGGCTATGGAGTCGTACCCGATATTTTGGAATAAGGACATTCATACTGTGTATTTAGATACGACGTGAGTATATTAGATATTTATACTAATGTTATAATAGGAATGATTTGTTTGTTTATTTGCATCGTAAGGTTTCGAAACTACTTGTATTTTAAAAATTCTTTTACCTCGCATCATAGGCGAGTGATATTGACTATAATTTTAGCGGACGAAGTCGAGGGAATCAGCTGGTTTTTTATAACTTTGTTTTCATAGATGATAGTAGCTCAACACCCAGACCCGAGACAATATAGAAAAGTTCATTTTCTACATTGACCCGACCGGGAATCGAACTCTGTGCTGGTTATATACACAGTGAAACTATTATTTTTGTAATATTTTACTCGCTTGAATTGTGTAATTGTGTTGTGGCCCAGAATAAAAAAAAACAAAAACCCGCATTTAAAGACCACAGGGTATAGACAGCGGGAAGAAACTTTGTTTTATACAGCGTATAGAGTTTCTCACTCTACCTGCCCTAACTATACTTAATTAAAACATGTTACTTGGCCGTTTTCCTTCCGTCACATAGACGTAAGCTTACTATAGTACTATTCTGCTCAATACTTCTTCGTTGGAAGTACAATAATAGTTCTTGTAAAGGGCAAAGTCACATGTTTTTATTCGGTCATTTTGGCGATATTTGCACATTGAGATAGATGTCGCTGTGTCATAAGTTAACACACTTGATGTGAGCGGTTACGCTTCAAAAACTTTAGTATATATATTTTTTGCACACATTACAGGTACTGTAATCCGCACTACGACTTCCCCACGCAAGATCAGAGTTTGGAGATGGCGCTGTATCTGCTGCGACAAAAGAAGATGCTACTAGAACAGAACGGAAAGAAGTTCTCGTCCGTTCTCATTATTTGCGGCACATACACGATTGGTGAGCGATACAGACGATTGTTTATTTTTAAACGAATGAAATATTCTTTATTGTATACCAATATATCTATGGATAAAAACATATGGATACAATATACTGTGCAATTGGCGGCTTTATTACTACAAAGTTCTTTCAGGCAACCTTTGTAAACTGGACAAAATTATATCTAGATTTTGTTAGCTTATGGTGTTTTTTAAGTTTTAGAACAGTATTATAAATGCTATATAATTTTGCTACATTCTTGCATCGATGAAAACATTTTGTAATAACGACATCCTTATAAGTAGACTTTTGACAAATAGCGTTGCTTCTGAGTATGTATTTTGAATTTACCGCAAATTTTAACAACTATTTTCATGTTTTATCTGTAACATCGAATGGTCTATTGGTATCTAGTTTTTAGTGTTCTGAATCCAAAGAGTAATAATGGAACTCCGCTGACAATTTGTCACCAGGCTGTTTCTTGTGAAACATGATAGTTGAAATGTTCACTAATGTAATTTCTATTTTATATTATATTCTCTTTAACAAATACTAAAAACAATAAATATTTGATGACATAACAAATAACTAATGTGATTTGTTTGTGTTGTTCTATATATTCTATACTAGCTTTCCGCCAGCGGGTTCGCCCGCGTGGTCCCTAGGGCACTGTTTAGTAACGTATATGTTAATCAAGGCTTAATATTTATTTTAATAATTAATTTGGATAAGGTTTAATTACAATGACAAATTGAATAGTAAACAATGGTAACATTACTACCTATTAAAATAGGGTTGATTCCCACCACACCAGTGAAAATACAAGTTTCTGTTGTATATTGGGAAAATATGAACCATTTTAAATAATATATATTTATTATGATATTTATTTGAAACATATTACGTTTTGAAAAGTTGAAAAGAGTAGGGAAAAAGTACTACAAAATTTTGTGAAAATACATATGGCTTTAAATTAGTAATATAAAATGTTACAACCTTCATTATTAGGGGTCATCCATAAATTACGTCACACGATTTTCATATTTTTTTTGCCCCTCCCCCCGTCCTAGTCACAGTTGGTCACATTTGTAAGACCCCAATAGTGTGATGTCACATATTTTGTAAGGTTTTTGTAAAGTAATAGTTTAAAGTTCGTGTTTTAACATTTAGATTATAATAGATTTTGAAATGTGACGTCGCGAAATTTAGGGCCCTCCCCCTTGTCACACTTCGTCGACCCCCTCTCTCCCCCTTAACGTGTGACGTAATTAATTGATAGCCATGCAGCTATAAACATCAACGCACAAGTAACACAGATATGGTCGACGTTTTTTGCCGTAGCACCGTGTGACGTCAATTAGTGCATTGAATTTGTAGGGAGCGTTTTCGGCTGACTAACGTCAGTTCCACAAACATAGCACCGTATCTCCGAAACTATTGATCGATATTAATGAACTATTTATTTATAAAATAAAATTAATTGTTGTCAACTAGTTAATTCCCTATACAAACTTCCACTGCCATTTTCATCCCTTTATTTGTGTTTTTTTTGGACAAAATATAGCCTATGTCCACCACATATGTATTAGGTAGATAATGTATTTTTTGTTGCCGCTTAAACGATAGAAGTACGTCTGACTCGCGCTTGGCTTGTGTTCTTATGAGTATAAAGTTTTACCTACTTGTTTAGGAAAGGAGAAGTTCTTCTTGGGTATGGCTCGTCGAGTAGGCTGTTCAGTGTGGGCTTGTCCCGAGAAGGACAGAGTGCTGCAAGCTGTTGAAGGTCACAGCTTCAGTAACTCGTCGCCGCAATCGTGTCAACTACATGTGGTGCCGATGCGAGACTTAACACACGAGGTGAGTCTCATTATTAGAAGGTCCTTGACAAATTATAGGTATGCAGTTTTGTATAAAAACACCGGTCTTGAAGGCATAAACAAAATTTACACATTTATTAACAGCACCGGACAAACGATTTTATGTTATTCAATCACCATCAACTTTGTTACGTGCCCACTGTAGGGGCTCAGGCCTTCCTTATGGATGGTTAAAGAGGAGGAGGAATATTTTAATATATGTAACTATTAATATTCATATTTATATTATAATCGTAGTATATCGTAATAGTAGCTCTTTGGCGTAGTGGATAAGCGCCGCGGCCCGCGATCGTAGTCGTTAAGCAACTTTCGCAAGGGTCGGTCACGGGATGGGTGACCTAAAAATTATTATCTCGAGCTACTCCGTGCTTCGGAAGGCACGTTAAGCCGTTGGTCCCGGCTGCACTTGCAGTCGTTAATACCCTCCAATCAGCATTGGGCCAGCGTGGAGGGTCATGGCCCATCCTCCTTAACCATCCATAAGGAAGGCCTGAGCCCCTGCAGTGGGGACGTAAAAGAGCTGATGATGATATTATAATCTGAAAATAAAGATTAATTTACTTATATGGTTTTTTGATTTTGCATATTATGAGCACTTATGGCTTTTTAGTACATATTTCGGTATTTTGATAGTGTATATAATTCGAGAGCTTTTAACGGAACAGTACAAGTTCTTTATGGTGATTGAAATAAGACTCATTATCAATTTTAATCGTACATTCGGTCACATACGTAAGCGATAGAGCTGCGCTATAATAATTGGATCTTAAGAAGCGTGTACCCAGACTAATTTCTTCATTATTATCATATTTTTTAACAGAAATTGCGACGGTATTTGGACAGTTTGCAAGGAGCTTTCAGTGAGATAGTTGCGTTTAAACCCAGCGGCTGGGAGAACGGGAAGAATTCGTCTGTGGAAAAAGATTCGGTTACGATACATGGTAAATCAACTAATTTATGTTACATTGATAATACTGTTTATAAATATAGCTTTAATGTTAGTTTTTTTTTTAAATATATATGAGTTAAAAGTTGAATATTTATCAAATGAAGTTAAATGTAACGTTATATTATTTCATCTTAAATAAAATGATATGAAGTTTTAATAGGATTATCCTTTATGAATTCTTTTATAGGAAGTATTCAAAGATCAAACTTAGCCTGTTACATATAGAGTCGCAACTACCATTCAAAAGTGTATTTTTGCTCACGCATTCTGTATTATTGAGATTCATATTTATTTAGGAGCTAGATGGATACCGTAGTTAGGCATCTCGCGAATGGGTCGGTCAAAGAATGGGTGACCAAAAATTTTGTGTCAATCTTGAACTCCTGCTTGCTTCTGAAGGCACTTTAAACCTTTTGACCCGGCTGCAGCAATGTTTAATACCCACCAATCAGCACTGGGCCCGCCTGGTGTGTTGTGGCGCCTTCTCCGTACTTGATTCAGTAGGAATGATGACTGGGGCAAAAAAATATTTAGTCAGTTAGTTGGATAATAGAAAAATGAAAATTTAAAAAGAATTAGCAGGAGGGGGGGGGGGGCATTAATGTGCTGATGATGAATCTAGACCAATGTATTGGTAATGTTTTAGGTATACCTTATAGTGAACATTCTAGTTTCTCCGAACTGATTAGATTCGTGACATTCCTGAAGCCGAAACAAGTAGTACCTACTGTAGATATATCTGGAGGGATTAAAGCTGTACAGGTATGTATTTTATACTTGCTTTTTGTGTTCATTTATGTGTCTGTCTGTTCAGAATATACATATGTTATACACACTGGTTTTATGTTGAACTCATGTATTAAGTTTAGTATTATTGTTGTTGTGGTTTTAAATTGCTCATCTATTTTTACTGCTCTGTGCCGCCATCGTGTTTGTCATTTCTCCCAAAGGTTGATTGGGAGAGAATGTTATTAGTAATAAGTCCGCCTTTTTAACCAAGCTTTTAATACCTAAGTTATATGTAGTTTCATACACTACTTTACCTTCACTCATAGGAAAAAATTTAATTAAACAAAGTAGGTAGGTTAGAAGGAAGTAATTTATGCATGCGTCATTTTTTTCACAGTTCTAACTGCGCATGCGTGCTCCTGTTTTTTTCATATTCAGCCTTAAACCATAGACTAGTTTAATTAGTAAAAAAAAAGATAGCGTTACTATAATGAGTTTTATGATACAGTTGGCGGTACTATGAATTTTATATTTAATTTAATGTATATGCGTTTATAAAGTGCGCATGTATAGAATCGTCTTTGAATTCATAATTCTAATTTTTGGATTTGAGTGTAGATAAACGATAAACGGTCAGTTGCTCAAACTTCCATTAAAATTGACATTAGTTTACAGCGACATTACCCATACAAATTTGACATTCATTAGAGCTAAAAGGCGTCATTAATCCTTAACGGGCGTTTGTGCAACTGACCTTTTGTGTGATATACTAATGGGGACCACAATATGCTGATTATAATCTATTTTGTTTTCAGAAATACTTTCCATGTCCCCTGGTGTATAAGGAGGATATACAATGCCAAAGCAAATTGACAGATTATTTTAGCATACAAAATCGACAGCAAGTGCCTGCTGTCACCTGAAATTTTGGTAATAATTTAACGGGACATGTATACAAAAAAATCAACTAACTTAAAATTGATTTTGTACAGTCAACAGCACGTCATGACTATACAAAACTGATAAATTTCTCCACTTTATTGTAAATAGAGTTCAAAATCAATTGAGTAAATTTGACATATTGTGGTAGGTAATTCGACGTACATCCGTATGTAACCCATAAATAAAAAAAATACAAATCTTATATCTGAAGTAGCCATTTGCATTCAAGATTTTAGTACAGAGAAATATTTAAACATAGAACAATTTTCTAGTTTAGAGCAGTCGCCTGGATTGCGAAAGGTAAAGGTTAGAATCTCATCTTGGGCACCGAACTGACGGGACTAGTGATTATTTAAGTACATTGTGCGCACGCGCGTACGCAGCCTAGTGGCTCATTTACACTGGTCGACGTGGTTCAGCATGGCGGCGAAATTGCGGAAAAATACTTTATACGGCCAATTACAACTTAAAGGTGCTTAGAACTTTGTTAAAAGTTTGTTTTCTTTTCCAGATCTGCATGGTCTCGAATTATACTAAGTTGCCATTATTACGTTACTGTGATGTTCTTTTGATATAATTTTTAGTGTATTGTATTTTTTAAACTGTTGGTTTGTAATAAAAATTGTTAAATATATACTTCGTTCTAGTCATTTTCTAAATTTCAATTGACAATTTACTATATTTTAAGCTAGTTGCACAAACGTCCATTACGGTTTAATGACGCCTTTAAGCTCTAATGAACGTCAAATTTGAAAAGGGTAATGTCGTTTTAAACTAAAGAAAATTTTAGTGGACGTTTGTGCAACTGGTTGTTTATAAGTTAACATTAAAATCAAGATAAAATAATAACTTTATATTATTTCTGATGACCTCCGTAGTCGAGTGGTTTGCACGCCGGTTTCAAGGTGTCGCCATCTCTGAGGTCCCGGGTTCCATTCCCGGTCGGGTCAATGTAGAAAATGAACTTTTCTATATTATCTTGGGTCTGGGTGTTGTGGTACCTTCGTTGTATCAGATACTCCATAATACAGGGCCTTTAGCTACTCATCTTGGAATCTGAGCAATGTATGTGATGTTGTCTAATATTTATTTCTAAGTGGGATAGAATAGGCTAAAATATGAATTTTCTAAAATCGCGAGAAAATACAGAACAATGAGGAATTACTTATAACACTTGGTACAGTTTCTTGGACGGTTCTAATTTGTGACATTTCAATTCTTGAAAGGAAATTATGAAGATGTGAAAAGATAATAGTGACATATTAAAAAAAAGTCTTGTAATGTAAGTTTATTTACACGTAAAAAATTCTAACCTATCCAATGCCTCCTGTGATAAATCCTGAAGTGTATCCCCCAGGGACACGTTTGTATATATTTCTAATAGTAAAAACCAAAAGCATTATCAATGTTACTTGTTATTGGTATTCTCATAAACTGTTTTATTATATTTCATCTATAGACGCATTGTTATGAATGTTTGTAATGTAAATATTTTGAAATCGAAATCTGTTTAAATAAAAATGGAGCGGGTGATAACGTATGAGGATTGGTGGGTACTAACGACTGCAGATGCTACCAAGGATCAAAAACTGATGAGAGAAAAAAACAGGTTTTTATTTCTATATTGTTTATTTCTATATTTATTTTTTTATGACAGTACAGTAGTTACTACAGAACTAGGCCAGTTTCGTAGGTTCCATATAAGCGATATCTTCTGTAGTTTTTAGGGCAGGTGAAAAAACTCACACAGATGTTTTGCGAGCGTCAAAAGAAAACAATACAAATCTCTGTCGAATCCGCGTATTTTGTTGTGTCGTCTAAAATGAATACCAAAATTAATGGCTTATACGCGCGTTTCGCACAAATCTGCCAATGTCAAGTGATAAAATTAGTGAAATTAATTTCTACATGTTAATTTCTATGGTGAAGTAAAAATAACCTCTTCTTCCAGGACCAAAGTTGTATTTGGTTTAAAACATTGGCTGCCTAATGCACATTGACAATGACAGGCGAGACAACGTCGCATTGAGACGTGTTCACTTATTTTGGTCGGGTAATGGTTTAAACCCGGCACTAAATTGTTTATATTAGTCCTCGTTTTATAATAAGATGGTATTGGTTTCTGATGTACTACGACACTAGACACAGACTATGCGATACTTTCGCCTAGTTGCACAAACATACGCTAAAATTGTCATTTTGGGAATATGGTAAAAATGTAGCGGCAGGGGGTCCGAAAACAGTAATTTTTTTTAAATTGGTCTACGAGAAAAGAATGTTTGGGAACCTCTGGATTAAAGCGACATTATCGACACAAATGATTAAATTTAGAACATTCATTAAAGCTTAAGTATTCATTAAATCTTAATGGATGTTTGTGCTACTGACCATTTGTATCATTGTACATTGTTTTTGCCTGCCCTAGATAGAAATTATAGTTAAAACTGTTGTAATAAAAATCGAACAGAACTATAAAATTATCATAATGATAATCTGGTATTATTAATTGGAATTTAATCTGAACCTAAGAAACTGGCACTAAGAACGGAATAAAAAAAAATCAATGGCTTGTGCTTTACTACAACGCTCAACTCATAGGGTTGTCGCAGTTAGCGGTGCCCTTACATTTCAGCAGTTTGCTCAAGTAATTATTGTACCATACAATGATAGCTTGGAATTCTTCTTCGATTATATTGTTCAACTCATAAGGATCTTCAGATAAATCATAGAGTTCGGCGAAGTTCTGAAACCAAATCTATTATGACTCCATCTATTGTATCAATTTGGAAACTGTAGGTGTTTCAAATCTAAAATATGAAACTGTAATACAGAAACACATTTGTGTGTCGTTGCTGTCGTATAGTGTTTCATACTACATTAAAATGAGACGGAAATATTTTTGTGCAAACATAACACAATATACAATTAATGTATCTATAACCATAATAATATGTGAAACCGATATATTTCTGTCAGCATACAACACAACAATGTGTTTCACCTTTATTCCGATATCTCAAACATGCCTTAAAACGAGAGCATTATTATTATATTCACACAACAGCAACAATATGTCAAATTGATTTTGAACTCTACTCTCAATAAATTAAGGTTTAAAAACAAATAGAGAGAGAGCTGTGTATAAGCTCATATACTGTTGACTACACCTGATACATGTATTGTATTGCTGTGCATTATATTTTATCGACTATAAGCAACTTTTACTGTTTATAATTACAAATTACATATTAGTGTCAGTTTTCTCTGCCTACCCTGCAATATGCTAACATAAAAAATATACATAATGAAACCAGAATGAAATGTTGTAAAGCACTTGTTGTTGTTATATTAATTAAAAAGTAGGTATTCCGTATTTATTAATACAGAATTTAACGTGACGTGTGCACCTACCATTGTTTTCCTATATCTTCCTTTTAGAAAAGATTTCCTCCTGTTGTTAATAAGACGTTCTTTCAAAGCTTTTTTCGCTAATTTCTTATAGTAATTCATTCTGGACCTCAGCAGTCTCTTATTGAAACGCTAAAATCGCATATTTCGTGTATGGCAGTGATTTAATGTGAACGAAATGAACTTCTTCATGCAAGTACAAGTGAAGTGGCATGCGATTATTTAACTATTATTTGAGAAAAGCTTTAGCGAAAATGACTTAATGGAATTTATGATTTGTATATGGGGATGCAAAGTAGCTTCATTCAATGTTCGAAAAACATGTATCTATAATAAACAATTGATAATTTTGATGGTGGATGATGTTTTTTTTTATATGATGAATGATGTTGAGTACCTGCATTATTTTAAGAGATACTTATTATTTTGCGAAATTGATTCTTTTCCAGAGTAGATAAATAAATTTATCTAAATTTCGACTTCATAAATTATAGTTTTTTAATGAAAAATTCTTAAAAAATCTATTTGCACCAGGTACTCACTCTCATCTCAATGGGACTCGAACCCATGACCTTTCGCAATGCGTGCGACTGCTCAAACCACTGAGCTACCAAGGAATTGACAGGACTGAAGAATTTTCCAAGCACTTGTTACTTTTTCGCTGCTTCAGTGCGCATTTTCATCAATGTTCAAGCAATCCACCCAAACAGCCGAAAGAAATATTTATACATACAACGTGTCCCAAAATTCAACGATAAGCGGGCGCCAAGAGGTAGACCTGCTCATGTGTACTTATGGAAAAATAAGAAAAAAATTATATCTTATTAATCTTTTTTATTATAAAATAAAATTCGAAAATTTACACCTTTTATGATATTTTCAACTACCACGACCACAACTTCTCAATTATGTTCAATCTTTTTTTGGTTACGGATACCTAAGTAGTACTTATATTCGCTACAACTGTTAAAAACACCAAAATGCCCACAGTATTTACACAAAAAACAATCAAAATGTATTTTTTTCCTTAAATTTTCACAGATTTTTACGTTCCGTAATCTTTGACTCACAGTCATGTAGAAAAAAAGTATGGACACTACTGCGGCAAGTTGTTTTTAAAATTGACGCAGCTCATGAAGATTCCATAATGGTATAATACTTCATGATAACTAGCAACAAACTAAAAATCATACCATTTAGAATCAAGAACCAAAGTTGTGAGTAATAAATTGTACTGTTCCGAAATGTTTTAATATTTAAAAAAAATATTGAAATAAAACAATAGTGAGTTTTAGTCTCATTCATTTATTAATAATTAACATTACAGTAAATGTTCAAATTGTTTTCCACCGGCATTAATACATGCACGACATCGCCTTAAAAAAGAGCGTTTTATTTTTCGTGCATACCTTTTAGCATTGATATGTGACGCAGCCTGACTAATTTTTTGCCGAAGCTCGTCCAATGTCGTAATGGGTTTTTCATAGATTTTGTCTTTGAGACAACCCCAATAGAAAAAGTCCAGGGGGTTTAGGTCGGGTGATCGGGGTGGCCATAAGATAGGACCAAGTCGCCCAATCCAACGCCCGGAATACTCTTGGTTTACAAATGGTGTGCATATTTTTTTACTGTGACTAGTTATCTTAGATTATTATACCATTTTGGAATCTTGATGAGTTCAGTCAATTTTAAAAACAACTTGCCACAGTGGTGTCCATACTTTTTTTTACAAGACCGTAAGTCAAAGATTACGGAACGTAAAAATCTGTGAAAATTTAAGGAAAAAATACATTTTCATTGTTTTTTGTGTAAAAACTGCGGGCATTTTGGTGTTTTTAAGAGTTGTAGCGAATAGTAGTGCTACTTAGGTATCCGATACCAAAAAAAGATTGAACATAATTGAGAAGTTGTGGTCGTGGTAGTTGAAAATATCATAAAAGGTGTAAATTTTCGAAGATTTTCGAATTTAATTTTATAATAAAAAAGATTAATAAGATATAATTTTTTTCTTATTTTTCCATAAGTACACATGAGCAGGTCTACCTCTTGGCGCCCGCTTATCGTTGAATTTTGGGACACGTATATTTAAACTTTGGATAAAGATGAAAAGTTGTTATAATTATTATATAAGACCAATTTTGCATTTTATAAGACCAATTTTTAATTTTTCAGTTTGGCATTTTAATGCCAAACTGAAAAATTAATTACTCTGAGATGGGAAAAGTAACATTTACTTGAAAAAATCGTCAGTCCTATTAGGTTCTGGGTGGTACAGTGGTTAGAGCAGTCGCCCGAATTGCGAAAGGTCATTGGTCCGAGTCCCATCTCAGAGTAACTGGGGCAAGTGGATTTTTTAAGCTTTTTTCATCAAAAATATTTTTCAGTACAGCATTATGAATGCAAAATTTATTTAATATAATAAATCATATTTTTATGAGAAATTTAAAAAAATTGAAATGAAATCCGAATCGCATAATTTAATGTGTTGATAGTTAATTTTAAACAAATACATTGACGATATTAGCGTTATTAAATAATACAAGTATGTACGTACCTTGTGGTCATCAAAAACGCAATATTTCATACTGAGCCGTTGCGCTATGTGCCTTAAACAAGCGAATGTGTTGTTCCTGGCATCCTGACACTTGCATTCATATGCTGGGTAGCATTGCTATATTAAACAATTGAAATGTATATTATACTACAAGTATATATGTTACGCTAAAAAATCGCAAACGCCCATTGAGCGAAAAGATAGCAAAATTTTTTTTGTTATCATCTAAGCTTCGCAACCCGATAGGTTTCTATGACGCTCGAGTAAATCCCGATTTAGCATCGTGGGCTCCCCTACTAAAATAACAGTGATATAATTTTGAGTTAGCTAAAATGATCAATTTCTGTTTCCATAATAGTACACAAAATTTTCTACTTACAGCGAGGTTATCACTGTCATATTTCCATGGGCATTTTGGATCAACACTGCCATCTCTTCCTTCACCATAGTATTCTACTAACATATATCTCTCTTCGATTACTTGTTTCACATCCAAATCTATAGCTTTGCCGTCCATTTCAATCGCGTCTACACCGGCTAGTTTTAGAATGGTAGGAGCCAAGTCGATATTAAGAACCGGTTGTGGATCACTGATATTTTTCCCGAGACCCGGGCCCCGGATGATTAGAGGCACCTTTATATCGGACTCATAAGGTTGCCTTTTATCATAAACTTGTGCAAATTGTCCTAGAAAAAAACAATTTAAGGTCGTAAGAAGGTAATATAGAAAAAACAGGTTTTTAAATTTTTATTCTGAATTTTTTATTTAGAACATTAGCGCCTTCTCCTGACAGGCATAAGTAATGAAAAAAAATATGTTGAGAAATTGACGTATCATAATAAGGCGTATTTTAAGTCCTTGCGTTAAACTTACGATTAACCAGTTACTGGTGGTTATTAAAATATCCACAAATAAATTTCTTGGAAGCTATTCAAGTTCGAAATTTTAACTATGAGTCTAGGTTTTATCAAATCAAAGCTTAAATAACTTTACTGACCAATGTGGTATCCATTATCAGAGGTGTATATCAAGTAAGTATTATCTAGTTGTCCGATGTCTTCTAGCGCGCCCACAACATCTGCCACCATTTCATCAACGGCTAACAACGATTCCCATCTGGACCTGAACACGTGGTCTAATTCAGGAAGTAAACTTTCTGGGAGCGGAGCGGGTGGCATTTTTATGAGCCAATGTTTATCCTGAAATCGAATAGAAATGATATTGAAACTGTTATGATGTGTATTGCAATGTCTACAATTACAAAGGTTAAACAACCTTCGCAAAAACTGATCTTCGGATGGATGACCAAAAATATATTATTTATCTGTTGTATTTTCATGAATGAAAATGAAAATAATGGACAGCCTTTAACATATCCCAGACCTATTCAAAGCAAGAGTGAATAGTTAACCTGCACTAATTATAGCCTATGTCTAGTGGCAGACTAACAGTCAGGTGCACAATAATCCATTAAAATGTTCATTAGTTTATAGCGACATCACTCATACAAATTTGACATCCATTAGAAATTAGACCTTAATGGAGGTTTGTGTAAATGATCAAAGGCTCGGGACGGCAACGGGCTTGGATCGACAACTTTACTGTATGTTAATGAAAGTAGAAAAAACTTATCCATTTGATTAATATGCACTCATTATAAAAGGCGGAAAAAGATAAATATAAAAAAAAAATACCTTAAACAGTTCGCGGAGTAAACTCTTACTTTTTCAATATTATACCAATTTTAGGTAAATAAAATTTCACTTTTTACTTACATTGTCAGCTATATTGAAGTTGGGATGTTTGACGGTTGTGGTGTTTTTATAAAAGCCTTTGTGTCTAGGCGCAGGGGTGAAGGGCTGGTGCGGTGCAGGAGGAGCTAGTACCATAAGAAACGGCTGCGACTCTGTCTGATTCTCGATGTAACTGATGCTGAGATCGCGCTGTTAAAAGTATAAACATGTATCATACAGCAAGGTTAGAGATCCAGCGTGCAACGGAACTTTAAACCGGTTAATAATTAACCTTTTTCATTTAGATAAAAGCAGTTTTCTTGTTACAACAACGTACCGAATATTTGGAGCGGAATTGAATCATATTATAATGAACCGGTTGAAAACCGGTAAATGCTCAGGTTATACCGGTTCAAAAATAAACCGATTTCCAAGCCCTGTGTGAAGATAATATAGATAGTAGTAATCTTAGTAATTTATGCATACTTACAATGACATCAGTAAGATAACGATCAGTGAGGTGTGTTGGGACACCGTTATTTGACATCACATAGTTATAGTAAACCGAATTGCCAACTAAGCCGTGCCACTCTGACCAACCTGGCGGCACTATATCTGGACCACCAGCGCCTTTCACGCCATACTGAAATATTGAATTTCGGTCGTAAGGTGCTCCTATGGAGTATTTGCACGTAACATTACAGCGTCAAGCATTAAATCAGTAAAGGAACGCGAATGACGTACTATACTTGTTAATATAACATGTGAAATGTTTGAAAATCGAATCTGGAATATTCCAGGTGAGGGAGCTTAAGGTAAACATTACAAAGGCTATAGCTTCATACTTCATAATGTGCTTGTGTCATTAAAGAACCAAAAGGGTACAGTAGATAACTTTATTTAAGGCACAATTTCCTCAACCGGTTTTAGACATTAATCTGTTAAATTTGGAGTTCAAAATCCTCTGCATCAGGTCTTTTGTCGAACTTGATATGGTGCTCTGTGTATCTGATGTGTTGGCAACTATATATTGAATAAATAGCCACCTGGGGTTTGGCTAAGATTTCCATGGTTTATGCTATTTTTGAACTCTGAATCTCAAAATGCATTATTATAATTCCACGGTACTTTCATAGACTAATAAAGAAGTTGTTTTATCCCTTTGAAAATAAAGTGCTTTGAATGTCTCTGTATTATAATGTATTTAGGTAAGCAGCCTTGAACATATAAATAGAAGGAAAGTCCTGGGTGTGTCACATATGGGTGTGTAAAATTTACAAACTATGCTTTTCAATAACATAATTTTGTTTTATAAATTGATTATATCATATAATAAACGGTAAAAATATTTTTTAAACATATAATTTTAAAAGACATACCCTTAAATTAATTTTCTTTAATATAAAGATTATTTTACATGAAATTTAAAATATTTTAGATTGTATAAGACGGGTATTAACGCGATCAAATTTCCGATAGTTAGGTTTTTCACCTACCTATATTTATAATAAAAAAATATTACAATACCCATCTTATACAATCTAATATAATGCAACGCATATTTTGTTCATATAATACTCGTTTAATCTGAACCCAAATTTTATAACATTTATTATATAATGGGTGAAAAAACATATATTATCTTGAGCTACTCCATGCTTCGGAAGGCATGTTAAACCGTTGGTCCCGGCTCTATTTGCAGTTGTTAATACCCTCCAATCTGAATTGGGCCAGCGTGGAGGGTCATGGCCCATCCTTCTTAACCATCCATAAGGGCTGAGCCACTGCAATGGGGATGTAAAAAGCTGCTGATGAGTATAAAAATCAATTTAAATATTAATGATATCCTAGAATATTCAATTCTTATAGTAATTATTATTATTCTTACTTCATATAAAAATCAAATCTTATAACATTATTTAAAATAATGAACATTTGAAATAATTTAAAATGTTTTATTTTTAACCCAAGTTGTTTAACTAGGTTTTCTTCTTTTCCTCCCAAAGAATTTACAATAGAAATTAGTCTAATGAGTAATTCATAAATGGCGCTCACCGGCATAGAGTTCAATCTATCTTAAAAAGTGGAAAATTATAATACGTATTATTATAGTGGAATATTTTATTCTTACCATTTTATTAATTATAAAAAAATATATAAAATAACAGTTACATCAATTAATGGGTATATAAAATGTTATATGGTATAATAATTGAACTTTATAAGAAAAAACCATATATTATTTGAGTAATATATGATTATAATATTACCAAAAATTAAGACAAATTAATGATATACAAATTAAGTGAAATAATAATTATTTTTAGGCATTTTGGATAATATGGTGTTTAATATTATACAAAATGAATATTATTCAAAAGAAGTGTTATACTAAACAGAATTATGATAAGGGGGCGTCCATAAATTACGTGAGGTGTTTTTTCAAATTTTCTGACCCTCCCTCCCCCCCTGGTGAGATGTCGTGAGATTTTATTCAATCCCCTCCCCCATCCCCAAATCTCACGTGAGATTTTTCAAAATGTGGGTTTCTTATTTAAACACGTTGGATTTTTTTAATAAAAAGAAAAAAAATAATTCGCTTAGTACTTTTATTTAAGACTAGTTAGAGACTAGTAATCAATATTGCTCTCATTCATCGAGTCACACGTTCAGCTGACAGTGGCGCGAAAACAAAGGACGAGCTACATTGTACCGTAAATTCAAATTAAATTGAGCTATTTGGTATAAAACGAGTATAGTGGTTTGACAATCAGGAGTTGGAAAGAAAATAATTTCATTCGTACTTTGACATTATACATCATAATGTCAAAGTACGAATGAAATTATTTTCTTTCCAACGAATTAGTGAATGATCTCAACCTTAGACTTGTCACTCTATGAGGGATTCCCCGCACCGAGCCTTATTTTAAAAATTGCGTGATATTTGCCGAGACCCCCCCTCTCTCCAACGTGAGATTAGATGAGATTTGACTCGACTCCCTCCCCCCCCTAAACATCTCACGTAATTTATGGACGCCCCCTAATAGTCATTAATACGAATATTCATTATATAATAATAATGTTGTTGATATGAAATTATATAAATAGTAGCCATAACAAATGAAATGCACCTGAAAGTCCTTCATGAAATTAAGATAGCAGATAGGGTATTTTATAGTCTATGATATTGGGTATTAAGGAATTTCGTACTCTATTTAATGTACATACCTGATTTAAATACTTGCCAGCATAAAAGGTATCATATCCAGCATTTTGTAAAGCATTAGCGAATACTCGATGTTCCTTCAGACGCCAATCAGATCCATAGCAACCACCACTTAAGCTGTTATTCTTTGTCATATGGTTATGAACATACAACCCTGTTAGGAGACTAGCACGACTTGGGCAGCATATTGGCGATGTCACATACTAAAGACATAATGTTCTATCATGTGTTTGTATGCAATGAATATTAATTTTTCTAAACTGAATGGGATTTTCTGTTAGCTAATTCTTTAAAAGGCTATTTTTGAGCTATAATATATGGCTAAGCTCAATATAGCCAAGACCAAATTTTCATTATTATTATAACCAATTTTTAATAGTTTGCTATTGTGGAAATCACAGAATTCTTCAGATTACTATTCTAATTATATTTTCATAAAGTTTATGAAGGTTCTCTTGGAAAGTCGCAGTTTTGCTGAATCATTTTTCAAAGAAAAGTCTATAAGTATTAATCACTGTTGTGAAACTCACCGAATTTGTAAAAGTGATTCCTTCAGAGCCAATAAAACGTTCCACATTCTTCATCGGTGTCTGAAACCGAATAAAACTACAGTTTTTCTCAACTATCTATTTATTGATTCATTATTTAACATAAATTGTTCATACTAACCATGCCATCCATGACTACATCCTGATCATCAGTAAGGACTATAACAAAATTTGGTTTCTTATCGGCATCACTGAACACAGGAGCCACAAAGAGTAGTAAAATTAAATAGTGTAACATTGTTTAGCTTATATATAAAGTTGTACAATAATTATTGTGGAACAGCTGGCATTAATTCTAGACCCGAGCACTCACTCGCGATAACAACACCGACTGTGAAAAATCCAACACTCTTCACAACTGACCTGTAAGATTAAAGAAGGTCAATACCCATGTTTAATTATACTAAATGTTTCATGTATTCTTATCATGCAAACAAAGTTTTATCTGTAGTTCTTTAGTACTAATAAAAATAAACATGATATTAACTGTAGTAAAATAATGTAGTTATATTTTTTACTATACAAAGATAGGGTGTAAGTCACTCTGATATTTTGATTCAAGTTATTTATTGCAAATTAAGATCAATAGCTGCTTTAAATTGTAAAAGGTTCATATGTATAAATGCTTTATGAGTAATTCAACGTGGACTTAAAAAACGCCAACAAAAATTACCTAGACCAAATTACTAATGTTGATAACATGCTACATGTGAAGTAAAAATTTGCCTATTAGTAGAAATCAACAGTATCATAGATATAGTATTTCTTATTTCTTTAATGCTGTTGAAATTTACTTCGTGAGGTTAGGTTCACTCACCATTTGAATGGATCGTAATAAAAATCCTTAATAAAATTGACAACTCCTTTTTTGCCCATTATAAACAACCAAATTTGTAAAGAGAAGAGAATTATAGCGTCGGATGTAAAAACCTTCTTTAAATTCGAGAAATCTCCTCCAAAACACTTCGTCTAAAAAAATTCAATTTGACATTTGTGATTGGACCAAAGAGAAAAATAATATAACGGGAATTGGACGGTTTAGTTCATAGAGTAAGGTAGAGTGGAAATATTTTCTATGGTTATATAAATATCATGCAATCTGAAGTTGACATCAAAAACATCATGTTGTCTTTTTTTAACTAATAAGAAGTTTCTTTAGTAAACAAAGATAACACTAGTGTGACAGTTCAAAATTTTTTACGTGACGTCATGAGATATAGCTATTTTTTTTTTTTTTATTATTAAGAGCATTGGCTACCAAGGCCATCAGCTTAATCCTTTAGTGCATACATATAATTAGAACTAAACACTACTACAAAATCCTTAGACTAAAAAACCCTTAAAATTATGTTATATAAATTTTAAATATAATAATGTAAATATTAAATGTAAGAAAGAAGAATCAAATTTGATATAATCATTTACAGAAGACCAAAAGTATTACTATAAAAATGATAAATTATTACATACAAATCCACTATTTTCAGCATGTCCTGCACATTTTTTGGAAAAATTTTGTTTTTTAGATGATCTGTACACAAAGAAACAAAAAGAAGACGCTGCAAGTTAAAATATTTACAATTAAAAAATAAATGCTGAAGGTCACATATTGTCTCTGTACAATATTTACACAATGCACTGTCGCTTAATCCGAGGCGGTGAAGATGGGATGGGAATTTACAATGACCTATTCTTAATCTACAAAATGATGTTATGAAGTTCCTATTCGGGGTAGTCAATTTCTCAAACCAGGCTTTAGTGGTGGGCACAGGGACAATTTCGGCATGCCATTTACCCTTAGTAAGACGTGAATTGGCTAGGGATATAGACCATCGTTTGATCATATTTTCTTTTAGACGAATTATTAAATCACTATATGGCACTTTGTAATCATTTATCAGTGTTATATTCTGTGCAGATCGTGCAAGTTTATCTACGAGCTCGTTCCCAAATATGCCGGAATGTCCCGGTACCCAACAAAATTCAATTAATAAATTACATTGATTCAATAGTTCAACCAGGTTTCTAAGTTCATAAACTAAGTAGTTACATTTCACATCAATACATTTATCCTTTAATGCAAACAGTCCACTCATAGAATCACTAAGTATTATAAATTTGAAAAATGATGATGAACTGAAATTCAATAATATATATTTAACAGCATAAATCATGCCTAAGATTTCAGCAGAAAAAATTGAGAAATTGTGATCACATGAATAAACTTTACCAATTTTATTACAAGAATCGTAAAATGCAAAACTAGTGCGATTATTTGTTTTAGAACCATCAGTATAAATTTTTATGTAATCTTTTTTCTCGCTCAGAAACTCATAAAAGTCTTGTTTTGAATCGAATCTCGTTAACGTAACTTCAACATCACGTAGCATTACTTCAAAGTTGTAAGAGAAACAAGGAGGTTTAAACGACCAATAAATTATATCTTGAAATTCAAAGTTTAAATAGGTGATTGATTCTGTAATGGAAGGCATCGCAGGTATAGGAATATTATTATAATTAGGGATTGCAAAATTTTCAAGGTAATGACTAACTAAAACATTGTCACGACTAATTAAATTCAGACAAAATTTTTCTGATAAATAACTTCTTCTTATATGTAAAGGCGGTACTCCAGATTCGACTTCTAAGGAATTTATAGGAGAAGATATCATAGCCCCTGTAACTATTCTTAGCCCTTTATTTTGAACAATATCTAGTTTTTTCAGAAACTGTTTGGATGCGTGAGCATAAAAAATACTACCATAATCTAATTGACTACGAACTGTAGAAATAAAAAAGCTTTTCAATATTTTTGGATCAGAGCCCCAGTTAACCCCAACCAGAGATTTCAAAATATTTAAACGCAATTCTGCTTTTTTACATGAATATGTAATGTGGGGACCCCAAGATAATTCTGAATCAAGTATGATACCTAAATACTTCTCAGACGTTTTGTAAGGTATAAGAGTATTATTATAATATATACGAGGACTGACAGGGCAACTATAGGCAAAGAGCATAACTGAACTTTTGTTTACGTTTACTTCTAGTTCTAATTGATTATTTAACAAGTTACTAAGATAGGTAAGACAATTGTTCATAATTCGTTCACCCTTACACAGATCTTCACAGTCTAAGTATATAACAACGTCATCAGCATAGAAAGTATATTTAACTAAATTCGGTATAAGTTTCATAAAATTTACAAGACTTAAAATAAAAAGTAGTGGTGAAATAACTGATCCTTGGGGGGTACCTTTAAAAGACTTACACGGACCGTATAAACTATCCCTAATTTTTAATGTAACGGAGCGACCATTTAAAAACTGAAAAATCCAAAATAAAACTGGACCAGGAATACCTAATGAACTTAAAGTTTGAATCAAGTACTCGTGTTTAATATTATCGAATGCGCCTTTTATGTCTAGAAAAACGGCGATAGTTATTTTATTTTTTCTAAGATTACTTTGTATGTCGCCTAATAAACAACCTAAATTGTACATCGTGCTCTTTCCCTTGCGAAAACCAAACTGGTAATCAGGTATAAGAGAGTTATGTTCGATAAACCATTCTAATCTATTTTTTAACATTGTCTCAAATAACTTTGCTAAGCACGAAGTCAAAGAGATGGGTCTATACGCATCTGAGCTATTGCCATCCTTATTAGGTTTTAAAATAGGTATTACAATCTGAGTCTTCCAGATAGGAGGTATAATATTATTTTTCCATAGTTGATTGTATATATTTAAAAGAAGACTTTTTGCGTTTTCAGAAATATTTTTAATGACAGAATATGGAATATAATCAGGGCCTGGTGAAGTATTCTTTTTATTATTTAAGGCAGCTTCAAATTCAAACATATGAAAGGGATTTTGGATCCATTTCGCTGACTCACTTCCCTTGGATGTGAAGTACGAATCTAAATTATAGTAATTTATATCAGAAGAATTCGAAGGAGTTATATTATTTAAATAAGCCCATGCGTTGGACTGATTATCAAAATAATGTGACCTAGAAATATTTCCTAATTTAGCAAATTTAAATCTTCTAATTTGATCCCAAATTATTTTAACAGGTGTAGTTCTGTTAAAGGAATTACAAAAATTGGCCCAACTTGAAAGCTTTTGTTCAGCTAATATTCTTTTCTTTTTAGCATCGAATTGCTTATATAAAATATAATTTTCTAAAGTAGGATATTTTTTAAATGAGTTTAGAGCGAGTTTAGCTCTTTTAACTGCTAGAGAACAAATATCATTCCACCAAATAGTAGGCTTGCGTTTTCTGTTATGGCAACTGAATTTTTGTTTTTTAGGAAATGTCATTAAAATATTACATAAATTTTCAATAAATGAAGTATAGTTTGTTAAAGGATCCAATTCTAAAGTAAAACAGGAAAAAGCATCATCACATAGCTGGGAAAATTTTAACCAATCTATTTTTAGAAAGTTAACATCAGCCAAGTAAGAAGAACTATCTGAAATATTCTGAGAATTTACGTTCTTTGCAGATGATGAAAAACTGATATGGTCGTGATACAGAAAGCTAATTAAAACGGGAAAATGATTACTGCTTATCAAATCGTCGTAAACAGAGAATGTACAACTTGAACTTACCGCAGGTGATGCAAAAACCAAGTCCAAAACGTTGCCGTTCTGATTATACGATGCAAAAGTTGTGACTGTGTGATCATTTAGGCAAATAAGATTATGGTCGTCAGCAAAAGAATTAATTATATTGCCCCTTCTGTCGTTATACCTAGAGCCCCAGGATGAATGATGAGCATTGAAGTCACCAATCAATAAATAGTTTCTGTTTTTAATATATTTATATGAATTTGAAAGCATTTCTAAATCAAATTTACCCTTAGGTGGAGGAGGTACATACACACATAGTATATCAACACAAGTGTAGCCAGTCTTGACTGAAATTAATAAATTTTGAAAGTGATAATTTGATGGTGTATTAATTATTTTATGAACATGCTTGTCTTTGATAGCAACTGCTATGCCACCATGAGGATGATCAGAATCACGTCGAATAATTTTGTAACCAGGCAACTTAAATAGCTTTGAAGTATCAAGCCAAGTTTCATTTAGAAGAATTAAATCGAATTTGGAAGAATAATTATTGAGAAAATATTTAAATTGGTCTAATTTAGATAAAATGCTGCGACAATTCCAATGACAAATGTGAAATTCATTAATACCAACCTCACTGTCCATAAAATTAGGAATTAAAATTGGAAATAAGAGTTTCTTTTATGAGTTTTGATGAGATAGTGTTACCTGAATGAGCATCTTTCTTATTTACAGCAATGTCTACAAGTGTTTTTGTTAATACGTTTAGCACATCATCTGAGTTAAGAATATCTGTAAATAACAATCTTTTCTGTGGTGCATTAAGTAGCTTCAAGTGATGTTTTGGTGTAGAAGTATCAGATCTTGGGATATCTGAAGTTACTGTCTGAACTTTAGAGGTGACTGTAGCATAAGTTTGTTTGCCACTAATTCGATCTTTCAGTTCTTGATTTTTGGCTGATTTAATAGGGCAAGTGTTGCTGATAGCCATGTGAGTACCATTGCAATTGATGCATTTAAGTTTGTCTTTATTGGTGCATTCTTTAAAGAAGTGATTCCCAGAACATATAGAGCATACTTGAGAGCTTCTGCAGGATCCACGGCTGTGTCCAAATTTGTAACAGACAAAACACTGGCGCACAGGTTTGATATATTCCTTTACATCAAACCACATAAAATCATAAGTCACATGATCAGGACGAGTTGAGCTCAGAAATGTAACAAGCACTGTTGGTGTAGGGGAGAATGATCCATCCTGATTCTTCCTCATGAAGCGTTTCACACCTATTACTTCATAATTCGATTTTATATTTGTTAATAAATCTTCCTCTTTAATTTCTTGTGGTACTTTTATTATTCCTAGACTTTCCAGACGATCATAGGGAATTTTTGCTTGCCAATCATGTTTTTCTAATAAAGATTTATCTAAAAGA